GCCTGAAGTCAACTAAAGGGCTAATGATAACCATCAAGATAGATAAATAATTGAGAGAAACCGTTTACGAAAAATTAATTCTGCGAACTTGATCGCAGAAAGCACAGTCCTTCATATAAGATATTGTTAAAAATTCGGAAAGTAAAACGATAGTGTTAAGTACTTAATAACATATAATGTCAACATTTAGCTGATTGGCTATCAATGAAATAGTTTGAAGAAGATGCAGGAGCAGTATTTCAAAATCCATCGTCCTGATCACAAAATTCAACATTTGAAATAGATAATGTTCCAATTCATTTCTAGACCCTTGTATTCCAAGCCTCGTGAAAACTGGGATTTTCCACAATTATGCACTATTTAATTATCAAATACAAGCTTCGAATTTATTTAACACCTTCAAATACCTCAGATCAAGTAATTCAAGTAATTGGAATATAAATAAGTCTTCGAATTTCTGTCTCTTCAATGGATGCAATGGAAATTATAAAATTTTCTAGTTTATAAACTAGTACAGATTCTTCCACTACAATAAGAGTGCCCATAAAATAGACTAAATTAAAATGCTTTGAATAAGTTAGCTATTTTTGATGACAGGTTAAATTAATGTATTTTAGCTCAATATTTACTTGGAAATTGCAAAGCAATTTTTTATTTCTCTATCTGGTACGAACTACCAATAAGCTGACCCGTAACTTCAATCAGCTGTCCAAAAATCAAACCTCACATTCAGGTGATAGGGGCGCTACAGTGTGATCAGAAAAGCGGCATTAATGAAATTATCGCTGCAAAATTTAGGCAACGAAAATGAGAATCCACACTGCGAATTTAAATTTTATTAATCTCAAATCGTTAATTGCAAACACATTACAATTTTATAAGAGGAAAAGCGTAAATACGTAAACAAATTCGAATTGATAAGTATTTCTCAAAATAACCCTAATTAACGCACTTACTTTACAAGAGTGAAATAATTGCCTGTCTGCAAATAAAGCCAATTAGATCAGCAGACTCCAAGAAACAAGTAGAATTTTAGAAATAGATAAAGAAAATTTAGTAATTTGAGCAAGGGATTTTCCCCTATCTATTAATCGGTGTTTATTTTTTTTTATTAAATCACATTAAATCAATAGTCTAAAGTGTAAAGTAGTATGAATAAAGAATGGTTGTGGATTTCACTCAAACAACATTGCCTTTAATGCCATTTGAGACCACATGAGTCTAATATGAAGCAGTTGAAATGCTTAAATCCATTTGCTAATTCATCTATTTGCTGATAGTTTTAACAAAACTGAACACGATAGACCTCACAGATAAATGAGATGATTGAGGATTCCTAATTATTAAACACATGAAACCCAGGAAACCAACCGGGAATTTTAGGCTTAAGAATTTTTTGACGTTGCAGAGCGAATAAACCCTTCAATAAAAGTGGGCATCACATTGATTCAGCAATTCAATTAAGTGGAGACTCATAACATCCTAATTTCTTTAAAATTAAGTCCACCACATGATTATTTATCATTACGAGTGGTCAACACCTAAATTAATCGTCGACACACTCAAACACTGTCCTTTAAAATTGCCCCATGGACAAATTAATTAACTAACTGCACTTTCGAGATAAATCTTAAGTAATCGACTAAAATATGCAGGGAAACGAAGGTAGAACAAACCTATCTTCTGTGAATTTGCAGCGCTGTAGTTCCGCTCTGTTTGAAGCAATCTGAGCCTCTGAGGATCGAAGACTATGCAGGAATCGACTGAGAACTAGCTCCACGGATGGATCCACTGGGATCTGTGTAAAATCTGTAGACATAGAGACGGTTAAAGAATTCCAAGGTCGTTTCAAAGACGAGGAGGAATCGGGAAGTGGATTATGAGAGGGATGCGGAGAGGGATCCAAATTATGGAGAGAAGTAACATTGAGGGAGGAAGTGGAGACATTTTGGTCGGTTGAATACAAAGGATTCTAGATAAGGAAATAGATAGATTTATGGCCATATTCTAGAAACCCGCCAGCATATCGACGAGAAATATTGGAAATAACTGCGCACCCTAACTCATAGTCCCACTCGATTTAACATATATAACCGCAACACAGATGAACAAAGAATGATAAATCTATCAAAAATCTTATCATTACCTCATGCATTTTCTTCACAAGATCAGATTTGTCCCATCCTTTTCCAATAACTGCTAGTCTTTACTTCTTTCCTATATTTTTCATTTCCAGTTGTCGAAAACATATTTTCCAAACACAAATAATGGTCTTCAAATTGAAAATGGGCATTCGAATCAATTTCATCTACACTGATTAAGAGGGGGTCTTAAAGTAGAAGTATTTGAGACCAGGGCTAATTTATTTCAGTACCACTCATTAAAAGCAAGATTAAAGAGATTTCACATGTGAAAGTCATGTTAAGCATTATTCAGTGTGGGAGATAGAAGATCACGATGTTGCAACATTGAGTCTTCTAGCAAAAATCATTGCACAATCAAAATATATTCATTGCTATTCGAACAGTTTAGTGAAGTTGATTAAAATAATAACGCTAAGCAGGGGCAAGTAACAAAGAATTAATTAAACAATACTATATTTAAAAGGCTATGATATTTCACCTTTTAATATGGGAAAATTTTGCAAATTACAGATTTTTTTGTAAGAAAAAGCAATAGTAGAGACAAGTATAGAAAACAATCTCTAATATTATCATAAATTATGCAGTATTTTCGCATATTAACGAAAACATGGTTGACGTGCCATAATAGCCTTACATCCGTCCATAATTTAATATTAATAAGGATATTTTTCAAAACAATGGGCACAAACTTACCAAATAACTGTTAAGATTCTTTGTATTTTGTTGTTCACGAATTCGAAGACTGCTTAAAAGTTTTTCAGAGTCACTTGATTTTTGCCTAATATGTTCCACTAAAGAAGATTTAGACAAAATATGATCAAATTACACAAAGTATCATGCTGTTTACTTGCCTCTGAATAGCGCTGTTCAAGGACATTTAGAGCATTTTGTTGATTTTTAATTCTAGACAAGTAAACGATATACCAAAGTATACCTTTGCATTAGTGACTCTTTCTTATTCACATTTTGAAGGTTAACACCATTCGTACAAATAGTTGACCTTGTGTCCATAATAATCATCGGAAATCGACTTCAATTTAGATCAGCCATTGATTTGCACGTACAAGAAAATGCACAAAGACCTTCAAGGTGGGCCATCGAGATAATTAGACATTCTATAAATATTTATAATAGAAAGATTGCTTTTAAAGCTATTATTTTTTAAAATGATGCAAATATTTACTTTCGACACTTCAATTTATCTATTATTAGTAAAAAATATTTTGATTTAAAATACTTGACATAAACAAATTAATAAACAAGTACCTATTTTTTAGGTCTACAAGTGAATTACAGATTATTCAACAAACTGATTTATTCGTCTTACACATTAACATAATTGTGCGCCGCAGCGGATATCTCAAAAAAATATTCGTTGACTAAAAATGAATATCTTTAGGCTTGTTGGTGACATGTCCCACTTGTTAGCCATTATACTTCTTCTTTTAAAAATATGGAAGACACGCTCTTGTGCTGGTAATTTTTTTCTTTTATGTTACATTTTTATGATTCAAAATTGACATCCACGTGTAATGTTAGAATCATCCTTTTTCATTGACTTAAGCGTTTCATTTCACATTTGCCTACTTTATTGTCTGGCCTTACTTTTCATTAATATTCACATTTTTGCATTTTAGGTCTTTCAGGAAAAACCCAGCTTCTCTTTGCTCTTGTTTTTACGACCCGATATTTAGATCTTTTCCTTTACTTTGTTTCCTTTTACAACACATTGATGAAGGTGGCCTTCATTATTCTGTCTTACGTCACGTGCTATCTCATGTACATCAAGTTCAAAACTACTTACAACAAGGATGATGATAACTTTCAAGTCCTCTACCTGCTTATTCCCTCTGTTTTACTTTCGCTGGTTTTCAATCACCATTTTAATGCTATTGAGGTAATTTATTTTCTACCTGTTCTCAATTTTACAAGATATGATTTGTCGAATTCATTGGATTAAATAATGAGAAAGTATTCATTTTTATCTGAAGTAAATTCCATTTCATCGTAAACTGCATTCCTCTCTCTCAGTTTGGTTGCTTTCCTATCTTTTGACTGGCTCTATTTTAATCACAATTAATTTTTTGTGGCGAGTTTATTTTTCTGATCTCGTATTCTCTACATTGAGCTTTCTTCTTTTTTGTTACGCATTTTAATTTATTTTTCTCTAGTCGTTTAAATTTAACTTATTGATATGCCAGTCATATTTTTAATTCTTCTTTTTTTTCTCTCTCCAAATATGTATCTGAGGGTGCGGAACATGATGGAAGTATGAATTAACTCAACTGAAGTATTTACTTTTTAAGGAATTAATGAAAATCTTCAAGGAGCTCCATTGTCTACTTGCTTGAGAATGTACAAATCAAAGTAATTGTCTTTGCATACAGAATTGTGGAAGTTATTTAGAAAAAATTTTTATTAAAGCCCTTTTTCTTTGTTATTATTTATTTGATTCCGAGTTATGAAGTTTCCAGTCACTGTTATTTAGTTACCAATCGGAATCTTTAGTGGCTATTACTTATTGATTCTTTATGTTGTGTAAGTTACATTAGATCACATTAATTTTATTTTTCTTTTTTCCCTTTAACATGAAAGAAGCCAACAGAAGTGGATATTTGTTTTTTCAGTTATTTTTATAACATTGTACTGTTGATCATGATTGTAGATGGTAGTGACCCTCCATCCCACTTCTGTCCTGCTTCATTTGCTGTTATGTCTTAACAGGACTTCATGTAAATAAAGTTCAACGCCATGAGCATATGTTCCAGGAATGGCATTAGAAAATTCATTTTTTTGTATTGAAAATGGTTTCGTTTTTAAGAATTGCAAATAGCTATTTTAATTCTTGTTGATTGGGTTTTCAAGTTGATAATGTGCGTTTTTATTAAGGTTTAAGCGATAGTATTCGTAACCTAAAGCTATTTCAATACCTTGCACTGGTTTTAGCTGTCGACTGCTTTACTTCTTTGAATTTCATTTTCCTGAATGCACCTGATAGCTTTTTGTTATCGTCAACTAAAGCAATGGTTTATGTGAATCATTCCAAAAACTCCGCTTAGATATTTCCTTATGAAATTTCGAACAATATGATCTCTGTCCATCTCCATTAAAAGTGAATATTGAATTTTAATTGCATGTCTTTGTGCTTCTAGTTATCTTTTTCTCACAGAGTTCCTCCCAGTAGCAATTATTTTAATACCCTTCAAGCCTTCACGGCTTATTGAAATAATTGCCATTCTTCCGGTCTTCTTTTCTTGTTTTAGGTATTGTGGAGCTTCTCTATCTATTTGGAAGCGGTGGCCATCCTGCCCCAGTTGTTTATGATCTCCAAGACGGGGGAAGCGGAGACCATCACAGCGCATTACCTCTTCGCTCTGGGTTCCTATCGGGCTCTCTACATTTTTAATTGGATCTACCGCTATGTGAATGAAGACACGTACGAGCTGATAGCTATCGTTGCCGGCACTGTACAAACTGTCCTCTACGTCGATTTCTTCTATCTCTATGTCACTCGTGGTACGTTCTTGTCGTAATAGCATCTTTCCTTTCTCTCCATAGCTAATTTCTCGACTACTCTTGCTACTGAGGATTTTTCAGTAGCCTAAAAATGCTTTTATCCAACTTCACATTAAGGCTTTTTAATATGATTGCTCACTTCTTTTCTGCTTTGTGTATACTGCTGTGCATAGGTATCTGTCTAAGGCTACTCGATGTCTATATTATTCCGTTTATAGGATGCTGGTACAAGTTGATGCAAAGAGGCCCATGCAAACGACCACTACGTAATGCTGATATCACATGCAAAAATATGCATTGTATGGGTTTCAGGGTTTACAGATTTTCATTAGTGGGTCATAACAAACAACTAAGCGCTCAAATAATTTTACAAGTTTCGAGTGAACCGGGTCGGAAGAGGTGAAAGTCAAGAATTATTGGGTCATCTTTCTCTATTTAAGCTCTAACAGACTCGTCTTATTACGCTTACCCTCACATTTTCATTTGTCCGAAGTCGATGAGGATCCGTGCACCCATCTTTTAATCGAATTTGGTATTGAATAAGGCGTGAGAATGACTTAGCTGTATGACTCTTATCAGATTTCACATTTTTCTCCACGACCACCTTTTGGGTTATTTTTGCCACAATTCTTTATTCTTTCTTTTTATTGCCTATTGATAGCTAGATTGGATTTTGATTTTCAAATATCTACTTTGATAGTTTTGATTACCCTCAAAAACTTGAATGCCTCCATCCTGTTCTACCTGGCTGGTTAATTTTTTTCCCATCAACTCCGTGCTTTGAAAATCTACTAAAATTACAAGGTGTAACGATTCCCTAGTTGCCTATTTCTTTCCCAAAAATAATGATTTGGTAGATGAAAATGTAGTTATGAAGGCTTCGAGCAAAGCTGTGCTTTTATGGGAACAAATTATTTTAGATTGGTTTTAAGTTGCGCCTCCCTATTGTGCGATGTTTTGGAGCAAAAGATATGGGTGCGAGTCAGTTTTAGTTATAGCACTAATATTATCCATTACCTTACTAATTCAACTGACCTTTAAGAAAAAGAATAATTATTTGAGAATTGTTAAGCCGAAAAGATCTGGTCAGACTCCTGAGCATTCCGATATTGTGTCGTTGACATAAAGTACAAGCTATGATAACAGAAATCCGTATCAGTTCCTTAGCGTTACAGGAAATTGATGATATTTATTATAACTGGGGCGATTATCATGGGTTCACTATTAACTTGCAAATCTTATTCATACTTGTAAAGTTTTTTTTTCATCCTATTGATTCTATTTACGAAGTTGCTATGGTGACACAAAACTGCCCCTATTTCATTCGTTAATCAACGTTCTCCCAACAAGTTACTGACAGAGTGGAGGCAGTTTTTTTACCATTTTTTCAAGTGTACTCATTTGAGTGGCATATCTTTTAAAACTTTATCAAATCATCGGGTTTATAAGCAAGGCTATCACTTCGTATTTTTCATATTTGCTTCACTTGACGAGCAAGCGGTAAGTAGGAGAGAAATGAGACATAGAAGGATCCATGCAGGGGCAGTTGGGCCCTGTGTTGTTTTAATGGTGCGTCAGATACATAAAGGACGTCAAGTCATTTCAATTTATAAGGAAAGCGATTTCGATAAATTGGTTATTTATCTTCCTTCTGATTGGATTTCTCTTGAATATGTCTATTTCGATGAACCAGTAGATCCAGTCTACCAAATTATTCCATAGAAGTAGAATTTTTGCCTATTTTTTAGATTGTTCTTATGTACACTTGTAACCTGTCTGTTTTTTCGTTTTTTTCAGTTCTTAAGGGCAAGTCCCTTGTACTGCCAGTTTAACAGGTCAGCCGATGGAAGACGTCTTTGAAATCGTTCGTTTTTTGCTCTTATTCAGCTTCGTACTTTTAAATAACCCTTTTTTTCATTTGTGACCCTTTTCCTTGAAGTGCCTTATCTTATTTGTCCTTTTAAAGTCAAACGTGCCCTTTCCCACTCCCCACCCATGGAAATCAGGTTCTATTTTTCCCCTAGGTTTCTTGCTTGTAAGTGAGCTTTAACTTTTCATTCTTCTTGAAGCGTTTGTTTTTATGTTATATCTACTAAAAATGTTGAAATACACCAACCCGCATGTACTATATATTTACACTTTGTTGTTTTTTTTGAAGAATGGAAGAGTATTAATTTTGGGACTAGTACTATTACTTCGAAATCAGTGGTGGTTGCAACAGTGGGGAGATTGGTCGAAAAAATGTTCTCTGTCTCGCATTTAGGAAAAACCATCTTTTCCAAGTTGGCAATACGAGAATTCCGTGGTGAAGATAATGTCGATAAGCCATTATAAGGTGACAAAGAAAAGAAACAAGCTTGAGAAGGGGCTTTTTAAAGATCGGGGTGCAGAGTCCAGTGTCCATTACCCAATTGGTAACCAATAAAACGCCACCTTACAGTGAGTGCATGTAGTGGTACGAATTGTCAGTGGACAGGCGGGAGGTAGATTAAGTCCACGTTGAAGTCACGCTTCTTTCACTCATCGATAAGGGGAAATTTATTTCCTTCGATTGCTTCAATAAGAGAATTATATTTATCAATTATTGTTTCCTGCGAAGGTAAATATCTTAATTGGTAACTTGAATCAGTATCACATTGTTTACAATGCACGCCTGTCAAATCAAAGTTCGCAGATTCGATGCATATCCAGTGAGCGGAATGCCAAATCCCACCAACCTTTCACATGTCTTAGCGCGATATGATTATACCGCTGTACAGTATCACTGAATGGATTTTTAACTTCTGGAAAGCATTTAAATGAATCCCGTTTAAATCTCTGTATTTGTTTTAGCTCGATCAATTTTAAATTTGCGCAGGTTCATAAAAGTTGCGCCTTCAATGCCCTAAACCACAAAGCAACCCAGTGATAACAACTAGGATAAAGATAAAATGGGGAGAAACGTTTGAAATCATTATTAAGGCAAAATAGCAAGCATATAGCCAACAGTATCTGGTGGTTAAAATGATGGACTGATGATAGAATTCTGGCTAATGAATGCACAGACTGTCCAGCCTCAGGTCAGTTCAGTTGTACATTAAATATTTACATGTGAATTACTATAATAAATAATTGCACTGCAACGACATTACGAGTTAATATGAAGCTGATACACATATCGCTATACATAAAAGTATAAAAATACTTATATCTAAACAAATAACTTCAACCACCCAAGTTCATTTTCTTATCATTAGCTGCAGAAGTGTGCAGTGCAACGGTTTTATCATGAATGTAAGTATAAAATAAATTGATTCTTTCCAGATTGATTACGAGAATATTATTGTGGGTTTCATTGCGTAATTATATTTTTTTAAATTTTAAATTTTTAATGACACTCATTATATATTATTTTTGTTTAATAAACAGATTTACTTTTTAGCCTAAAGCGTATTTTAGCCATAATAAAATTGACCAATCACTGCTTTCTGCCGCTAATTAACTGTACCCTGTAATCGATTGAAAAGAAAATGCCTTCAAAGCTTTCTCAGTCAAAAGGAGATTGGGTTTGTAGCGATTCGAGGTATTTCTTCTACCCCCTCTAATTTCTTCAGATGTGGAAATATAAATTTTGCTCGCCGTGATAAATGCTATAAATGTGGCCGTCCTAAGCCTCGTCAAGATCAAAGTAGTTCTGTTAAACAAGTCGGTAAGGAGTTTGCGGAAAAGAGTCGCGGCCTATTTAATCCCGATGACTGGGAATGCAAAGGGTGTGTTTCTTTTCACATTAAACCCACGCATTCTTTACCACAACATTAATGCCTATGTATTTGTTTAGCTGCGGAAACGTGAATTGGGCTCGACGGACAAACTGCAACGTCTGCAATGCTCCTAAAATAAACACTCATGGCCAAAGAACTGGTTATGGTGGTGGCTACATGGAGCGTGATGAAGTTGTTGACTACAAACGACATGAGGATTCCGACGACGAATTCGATGAGGTTGGTCCTTATTCCATGCTTCTATCCTTTCCGATCAGGTCTATATTTTTTTGAATTTTTTAGTTTGGATTGAGAAAAAAGAAATACAGAAGGAATAACGCCGATAGAGGTGCTGGAGATCAACGGGCAGAAGGACAACATTCAGATGAGGATGAACAGACTTTAGAGATTAGGAATGAAGAAGAGGAATCGGGAGATGATGAAGACTTGTCGAAATATGATATAGTCGGTGATGACGATGAGGCTGTTGAGAAATCAGCCAAAGTTACGATCACTAAAAATGGGGGCTTAAAGTCTGATTCAGAATCTTCACTCGGAAGCAACAGCAGTGGTGACAGTAGCGACAGTGAGAGTTCTAGTTCTTCCAGCAGTTCGTCATCATCATCTTCGGAGAGTGAGTCCTCTGACAATGAAGACGAAGAGAAAAATAGCATGAGCAAGGATAGTTCATAAATACGTGTAATTTTGTGTGTCTATTTCAAACCTCTGTACATTATCTACATGTCTCCCACTCTTGAAATGTTTTACTATTAAAGTGTCCTATGCAGAGTTAACCTTGTTTATTCTAGTATGCTAAAAATCGTTGGCTCTCATCTTGCACATGTAGGAAAATTCATCTGGTTTACCAATAAATTAAAGTAAAATCAAATTGGTCGGCGAGCTTTGGGCGCAAGGCTCTGTTGTTTAAATTTTGCAATAATAGACTATCAAACAGGAGGTTATTTAAACCCGACGCATTCCAGTAATGTTGCATTCTACTTTCCTTCAATGTCGCTGCCCTGCGAATTGGGAGCAAACTGTGCTTATTTGTAATCTCAGACAATGAATTAACTGCTCTTTCGAGTGGGCCACATCAATTTTTTCCTTTGCATTAGTAATACTAGAGTTTTGGGCTAAGAATCGCCTGAATAATTCACTGAAGCGTTTCTTATTTGATTTTCATGAGTCGTTCCACTTAAGTAATTTAGAGTATGGAGTACAGAGCGGTATTTGTAGGACAATACCTTATATCACCTTTGGCACTCAATAGCACTTTGAGCAAGTATCAAAAAGCGTTGTATTTTAAATTGAGTGTGCGGGGGTTACGAATTTTAATTCTTTATTGTTAAAAAGTTTGACCCATTTAGTAATTTTCGAAACGGTGTACAAGGCATCTAGTATAATCGTTCACACATCAAATATGCTGGGTCGAAAGCAGAAATCCGACCTTCCAAACACAACTTCAATGTAAGTTGCCAGGTTTTTAATCGAATAATTTAGCAATTACTCACCATCTTAAGTGAATATGATGGCCAATTGGCTACTCTTGGCGTTCTTGAGAATTTGTTTGCGTTTTCAGAAATGATATCGATTAAACAAGAGGATCTATGGGTTAAAGTCTGTACGTCAATAATTCTACAACTTACATTTGGATTCATTAAGGAACCTTGTAAATAAATCTAAAATATGGCTACGCGACAGTTAACTTAAGAGCTGATTCTGAATTCAAGGGTACTGTATTTTGCTGTCCAAAATTATCCAGTACCTGTATTCTCTTTCACTTTGTCCATTGTTTGACTGTCTCACCTTGATTGGCAATGCATCACCTTTGCTTTATCCTGTGTAATAACCGTAGATTCGTTTGCAACTTTACAATTTTCAATTTTATTAATCGCCAACACTGTAAGAGTTCGTATTTAGTGTTCTACCTTCTAATATATGGGGTGTGCGATAGACTTACCTCCACGTGGTGCACCCTGGGCAACGTATACTCATACGGCAAAAAA